GTCAGAACTCGCGCCGCAGAGAAAAATTTCAAGTAAAATCAAAAAAATTTGAGTAAAAACGTTTGAGGTACAGTTTTGTCGCAATTTACAAAATAAAAAAAGTAAAAATCTGTGAATCATCGAAAATAATTGTATACAAAATTCGAATGTTTAATTTGGTTGTTTCTAAAATATAATTTTAGTTTTATTACCACTACAAAATTTTGCCTGATTTTGTTTTGGGGTCTGCGCTACTGAGTAGCAGTGTATTTATTACATTACAAAAATCAATACTGGAAACAAAACAATGGAATAATTCCCTGACTTAGTAATAAATAAAATGTTTTATCAGATCAGCATCGAATTTGTGATTGTAAGCAGCTTCATTGCCGGTGTTCATTTGAGCGAATTAAGTTGGGAATTGTGGGTATAAAGGAGGTGTCCCATGGTGCTCTGTCCACCGAAGATAGCGGCCACTTGTACCAAAGCAAGTCAACCGTCTATTGTCACTGCATGAGTAGAGTCAATCCCTGGCACGTGACCCTAAACGAATCCTTGTCAAACTATAACGCCCTGATAGATTAGCAATGTTATCTCTTGTCCGGCAAAATTTATTTAATTCGTGCAAAAACGGCCAACTCAGCTTTCGATAGATATCAGGATTTCTGGTAATTGCCGGTTTGACGTCAAGCTTTCGCCATAGAGCTTCCCCACAGAGGCACCTCGCATAGCCGCCACTTCTCGCCAGTTCTTATCAGAACATCGCGTAAATTGAAATTCATTCAAGCTAAATGATCAGTCTAGTCTTGGATGAACTTCCAAAACGGCGACTCTACAAAATGTTTGAGCGATTGTACATGTGACAGTTTGATTCTGGTTTCAGTGAAATGGTGCATGGTTTAGGAGGATTTTCCATTTTTGAGCATTAATTGAAAAGCGGCCGCCGTTTATTTTTAACCCCGCTAAGCGCCCACGCCGTTATCAACTCCAGTTTCATACCACTACGTTTTTGTTTCGCGGGGTCGTTTATTTCACGTCTGAATGACGACGAAATTTAACTTTTTATTGAGCTCTTGTGCTGCTGCCACTGGCATGCCACTCGAAAAAATCCTTTTATGAGTTCATAACAATTTTTAAAACTAATCATAATAAAACACTCGTTCGGCAAATGGCGCACATGAAACAAATCCTTTTGAAATTTACTCGTCCTTTTCAAACTTTTTTGTTAATACAGGGTGTGTCAGAAGTCGCGCCCCAGAGAAAAATTTCAAGTAAGATAAGATACCAGAAACATGAAAAATGTTTAAAATATTCTTTGTCAAAATTTTTTTGACATTTGACATTTTTTATGTCTATTTAAGGATACTGGATGGTTTTGTATATGTTTTTTTTTAATTATTTGGTAAAGGTACAAAAATTTTGCTAATAACAAAAGCCACAAATAACATTAAACAGTTACAATTTAGGATACAGCTTCCTTGTTTCCTCTTTCAATAGCTTGTAGCAAAAAAATACTTGGAAAATTAGTTTTCCAACACAAATAGAGTCAAAGTGCACAATTTAAACTCTCATAACTTCGAAATTTTTATATATAGAATTTTTTAAACATTTTTCCCATATTCCTGCTGTCTTATCTTACTCTAAGTATAGTAAAATTGTCAAAATTAAAACAGAATCGATTTTCTTTGTTAATAGTGGGGTTTTGCGGGGCTGTGGGTGGGCGTTTTCCGGGCCAAAGTCGGGAAGCGTCTCAGAAATTGGATGGCAAAGTTATGACAGGCTGATGGTAGCGGATCGTGGTCGGCGAGATTGAGGACACAAGAGGGGTGAGCGCTTTAATGAGTGATTTAGCGGCACAAAGCGAGTCCCTGGAGGCCTCTATCAGGCGAGACCAGGCGCCGCTGTACTAAAGCGAAGCGCCCCGGAGATGTACAAGTGTGCGAGAAGGCTGTTCCACCTCACAAGTTCCGCTCTTCGCTAATCCGTACTACTTTAATTATCCAACTATCATTAGAGCATCTACGCCCGGATTCCGGATTACTATTGCTACCGGAAATGTTGCGCAACTCTCATCATAAATATCTCCCACATATCGGATAATTCATATCAGTGAAAGTGCTCTCGATGGAAATGAAAATACTCTCGCTTTTCGGACGAGAATTTGAAGACTGTTTTTTGATTTAATTATGTCCTTTTTTGTCTACGAAAGTCAAGCAGATGTGAGCAATCTCGCGTGCCTGCGGGACTCGTTCGCTGAAATTTGCTACCAATGAACGAGAAATAAACACGAAATGTCGTCGGAATTATAATAATAATACAAGCCATTTATGTCAAAATAATTAAGTGTTTATTAACAACGTAGAAATCATCGAATTACATTAAAGAAATATATTATGGCAAAAAAGAGCTTAAAACAATGTCAATAATTAATACGCAGCAATTTTCTGAGCTTCTTGCAACTGATCGATAAGCTTCTCATTCAGCAATACCTGAAATATTGTAGATATAATTTAAAAATTGATACTGTGTATCTAATACTAAAAACCTTGTGATAAGAAATTATAACTAGTTCTGTAGATAAAGTAAACAAGACTTGTTAAGCTATTGAAAAACTTTCGCAGTATATTATTGTAAAAGTAGTCTGCTATAGGTTTTATTGTGAATTAAATCGATATTCAGTTACTTGATTTGCGAATTCTAAATTACTATTTCAATACAACATCAATCTGAAATATTTTTATTTTTGTTAAACACTTTTATTGTTAGCAAATGATCCTCTTGTTATGTCAATAAAATTGTTGTAAGCCACTATGGAAAGATGAATGTTTAAAGTAGCTAATAAACGGTAATTAATAAGCCTTTCAATTATAACAGACTTAAACACATTGGCTCAAATAAATTATTAACTTTAATTACAATTATCTATGTTTTAAAATAAGACATAAAACATAAATGATCAGTCTAACAATGACGAACAAAGCAATAATTATAAATTAGAAAACGTAACAACAATAATAATTACGTAAAGCAAATCAGTAATAAATAATAAATTAATAGTTTTAACTTATAATTATATAAATTTAAAGCTAAAAACACCGCCGTAGCAACTTTTATCTAAACACATTTCACCGGATAAATGCCACTTGTACGGTTTGTAGGTCGATTTTTTGTAATTTTACTATGACAAACTTTGATTAAGTAATAAATGTCTACATAATTATTGTACTCCTAAATTCTTTTAACCATAAAAAACACACAGATGTCGAAATATATATCTAATTAAGTCTTTGGTTTAAAAATTTAACACAAACTTGACTTAGCTATCTAATTATGTAATGTTAAGTGTGAATAAAGAAAGAAGGTATATGTTTAAAAATAACTTTGTACCTAAATCTTATTTCATTAGTTTGATCAATTAATTACATGTTGTGCTGCTCAACTGTAAAAATAATTATTAGGTAAGATGATGGACAGAAAAGCATAACAACAGAACACATGTGGGTTCCACCTTTTATCCACTATATGAATCTCCTTGGATAAATAATGAAAACGTACCTAGTTACGGCAATTTCGCTATGCATCACTAATTAAGAGTAATTAGCGATAGTTATGAGGGTTGAGAAAAAAGGTCCAGGAAACAGGTGTGGTAAGCATAAATGTAATGATTTGCTTCTTAATTATTTATTGTTCCAGTAGAATGAATATAACGATATTTAAATGTGTTATGCAAAAACATTTTTTGATGGAAAAACAGTAAAAAATATACTTATACTGGTACAGAAAAATAAAACAGCTTGTAAAAGAAAAAACTAGCAACCTCCTGCCGTTGATATAAATTATGATATTTTAGAAATTACCTCCTCCACCTGTTCCTTAGTAAACATATGAAACAGTGTACCAGGAGTCATTGTCATAACTTCAACATTTGAAGAATTTAACTTTTCCTCCATAACTTGTTTGAGAATTGTTAGTGCTGATGTAGTTGCTTCACTTAGTGTCATACTGCGGTGATAGACTTCCTGCAAGCTTTGTTGCGCTCCCTCTGAACCTGATCCAATAGCTTTTGCATCAAACTGAACAAACGTGCCTACATTAAAAAAAACAAAAATTAAATTTTAGATTAACAATAATTTTAATACAACAAACCAGAGGGATCCATATGATACAACTGAGGCCCTTTTTCATCAATCCCAGCAAACAATATGGCAACACCAAATGGCCTTGACATTGCCGCACCATCATCATCAGAATCGCCAAACTGAATTGCCAAATTTGACACAGCTTGAGCACATGATTCCACACTCATGTTTTCGTTGTAGACAAACCAGTGATTTTGGCATTCCACACGTGCCCTAGTCATATTTATACAATTAATCATTTAATTTTTACTTTTTTATATTACCTATCAATCATTGTTCTTGAGTCCGCCATAAGGCCTGACACAGCACAACCAATGTGCTTATCAACTTCTACAATTTTTTCTATCGTTGTGGGCTCCATCAAAGAAGATGTTATGCGTTTCTCTACCGCCAATACAACCCCTTCACTAGTACATATTCCAATGGCCGTAGAACCTAATTTAATAGCTTCTATAGCATATTCCACTTGGAAAAGACGACCTTCAGGTGAAAAAGTGTTCACTCCTCGGTCGTATTCACTTCTTGTAAGGAACATCTAAGAAAGGTTTTTTGAGGTTATGTAGCAAAAAATGACTGTGCACGCAAAAAATGTAATTAAAACGTCACTAACTGTTTCCAATACCACTGTATTAATAAAAAAGTAACATAAATAATATTTACCTTCAAAGTTTGATTAATTTAAATTCTTCACAATGCAGAAAAAAGCCGACGATGACAAATCAAAACACAACTTTTACCAAATCAGTGCTGCCAATCACAAAACATTAACAAGTTGTATTACTAGATAAAAAATTACACACATTAATTTAAAATGTAAAGTGTCTTTCACTTTTAACACTTTATTGTAAATATATATTTAAAATTGTACATCAGTTAAAGAGTACTGTATTTTCATTTATTACTTGCCTTTTTAGGAACTTTTTTAACGTTGTGTTGGTGCCTGTTTTTCAAATTTGACATATAACCTATAAATCCAAATTTTTTAGGTTGTATTTTTATTAACAAAAAGTAATATAAAAAGTCCGAGACTTTCCAACGTCTAAATAAATGATGTTTAGACCAATATCCGTAAATTTAGAAACTGTCGATGGCTACTTGCAACAGAATAATTATTCTGCTCTTGAACTTTACCTAAAGACAGAATTTAGACTGGAAAAGGATGAGACAGGAGTTCCCTTAAAGTAAGTTTTGTTCTCATTAAGAAAAATTTGGAAGTTTTAATTTTTTTAGAATTGAATTTTCAACTAAAGCTGTGGACTTGCTACATCAAATTTTAAAGACAATTGCTCAACAAAATCTAACTAAAAACCATGAAGGCATTATAAAAGAATTATTCAGGAGTTTGAGGAATTATGTCATAAACCCAGATGTTCAAACTTATATTGTAAATGACGAATTTTTTTTGTTGAATGTGGTCAGTTTTATGAATCTACAATCTGAAATTATTCAAAATGCATTCCAAATTATTTTACAATTTTTATTTAATTTAATAATATCAAATAAAAGTGCTGTGGATAAAGTGTATGATGTGTTTTATCCTACAATACTTACATTCTTGAAAGACAACAAATATGTTTACGAATCTTCTGCTCTTTTATACAACATGTCTTTATATAAGGACTTGAATTTGGATTGTGGCATATATAATTGTCTCCTTGAACTTTATGACTCTCACAATAGTGTAGAATATTTGTATTTTATGCTAGAAAAACTAATAAGTGATGGCAACTTTTGGAAATGTTATAAGAAATTTGATATAAATAAGAGGGCAGCAGTATTGGGTGTGATCAGAGATAAACAGATAAAAGGAGAAGCAATAAAAATACCAATAATAGGTTTAAAAGTGTTAATAAACCAATTTGTGACATCTGGTAAAATAATTTTTCAAACAGTAGGAACTAAAGATTCAAGGTTGGAAGCCTATGAGATATCACAACTTGCACAAGTCATATCATCTTACTGTAGTAATGAAGATTATTTAAAAGTCTTACAAAGTGATAAAGATTTATTAATCAACTCCGGTGTTTTATTAATAAATATTCACAGATTGGGAAAGGAAAGTGAAAATTGTTTTACTTCAATACAAAATTTATCTGAAATTAGAGAACCTAATAAAAACATTCAAAAACATCCAGCTTTTGGGTTTAAGGCAGATCTGATAAGGATAATTGGTAATTTATGTTGGAAAAACAAGATAATGCAAGACTTGGTAAGTTAAATAGGACCGTTATGTAATTTTTTATTTGTTTTTTTGTTGTCAGACAAGAGAAGCCGAACTCATACCAGTTATTTTGGATTGTTGTAACATGGACGCAAGAAATCCCTGTATCCTTTTTTAATTGCAAAAATAACGAGACTGGATTTGCTATGTTATCCTTAATCTATGTAGTTATAATGCAATGGGTTATATTGGCCGTGCGTAACTTGTGTGAAAATAATCTGGAAAATCAAAAAATTATTGCTGAATTGCATCAACAAGGAACTGTTTCTTCTTCTGTGTTGCAAGAATTAGGAATAACGTTAGAGAGTGATGGTGACAAATCTATAAAAATTGTGTCATTAGAAACATTACGAAGTCAGAAATAAAATGTAATTGACAAATTAGTAAAATAATTATTGTAAGTTATTGTTAGGTAACTACTCGGAGAAGATTAGTGTATTATTGGTTGCATATATTGCTCGTCTAACATACAGGATGTTTCACATAACTTTACGAGGCTTGCGCCTAATATACGCACCCAAATATACACAAGCCACAGAACACTGGATACAAAAATACACATTTAATTATTTAACTTTTGGCAACCCATGACAGTAGTTGTCAAACTAATCACTGTTTCATTAATAGTCATAAACTGCAGTTTTTCAGAAACAATTATCATTTGTTTTATCAAGAGACGGCATGAGTATGAAGCTAGTTTATTTATCTTAATCACTAACTAACTAAAAACATTGTAATTTTTGAAAGGGTGAACAAACTAGAGAAGATTATCCAATTTTCCAAAATTTGTAATCGAGTTCGTATCGGAATATGTATTATTGATTGCATCTTACAGGCGCAGGCCTCATAAAATTACGTGAAACACCCTGTATTATTTTTTGCTTAAGCTCTTAATTTTTCAATTAAAGAATTTATGTGAGTTGGAAAAACTTTATAGAATAAAGTGAACACATTTTCGTAGACTATTTATTTGTGTCTTAGAAAATTTGCTTAAAACGAATTGTGTTTTAAAGAACTTGATTTAATAGGTATTTATTGATTTTATTGACCGTTGTTAATAACCTCTTTATTCAGGTGGTAACAACTTTAAATATAAACCACTAGTTTAATTTAGTAATTGTATTACCAAAGGTTACTTATAGAGTTAGCATAAAAAGTCCTGTGGTATTTATTTTTAGCTTGAACTTTAGACTCACGAGTCCTCTTATTTAAAATTATTACTTAGTTAAAGAATCAGATTATTAAAGTGAAATAAATCGGAAATTTTTGTAAAGTATTGTTTTTTTTTATTTCCAGTAGACAATTTTAATTTGCAACTTGTTTTACTCGGAATTTCTGGTGCGGTTAATAAATACGTGAGTCGTTCTTATTCTCAGTAATAATAAATTTATTACCTACTTTTTTAGAAGGAATGTTATACCTAGTCTAGAAAATACTTACTAATTAGAGGTACATAAAATTTATAAAACATCAGAAATTTATAAATTGTCAAATAGATAATAAAAAAGCAGATTTTTTCAAAAGTTTCTTTAGTTTTGTTGTGATTTTTCAAAGAATTTTATCTACTAATACACTTGTTTTTATGTTTACTGTTTTCTTATTCACTTCAATTGTTGCATTTGTAACCACCTGTTGACTGGTATGCATATTTAAATCAATCATTGAAAAAATGTTAATGCAAAAATGACAATTATTTATTGTAAATTAATTCTTTCCGCTGAATTGACTGGAAATGTTTGCAACATAAAAATCAGATTATATCTCTTTATATTCTTCTTTAGATCCATAACCATCTGCCGAGGATATTAGGTTTCTGACAGTAACTGACTAGGGGGTAAATACATAACAGTTTGTAGCAAATTAGCGTAACAGAGTATAAAATCTAGGGTAACCTTTATATTTTAAAACATGAGTCACCGGAGATAAACCAATCTATAGAAAGAAAATCTTATCCCTCATGTAATTCGAAACTTGCGGTCCCAGTACCGGAATTTCTAACGAACTCATACCACTCATTACAGCTAACTATATCCTTATTTTGTAACTTGATAACAAGGAAGTTTAGACGCTCAACTAATATAAATTCAAGTAAATAGACGTTATTACGTTTCTCAATATCCAGCTCTGAATTCTTATTCAAAACTGAGAGTAATTTTGGTTTAATGTGACATTGATGAATGACTTTATTAAAATCCTAGTTTTTCATCTCATGTATTGCGTTAATTACAATTTGATAACGAGCTTTTTGGTAACATCTGAAAGACCAGAGATTCGACAATGGAGAGGGGTTGATAAGCTTGCGTATTGCATCCGTGGGCTATCACGGCCCGTATCAGGTGTAAAGTTAAACTTGAGAACAGTAGCGGTCGTAATGTGCGATGCTTACGTATTTCGGTAAATAATTAAACATACTTAATATGAACGCAGATTTTCTTGTGTATGGTTAGTAAAAAGAAAACCGAGTTTTCTGATGGAAAACCTGACTTACTTTTCACAAATATGGGATTAAAAATAATTTGGATTTGGTAAGAGGCATTAACTGTGATATGTTTTTAAATGTATTTTTTTTTTTAATTAGTAGGTTTCCAGTTTTCATAGTTTTTCTGTTTTCTAAATAATTATAATTTCAAAGTACAACAGTGTTAAATTTGTATATCAACATTGATTTAAAATTGTCCCATTAAAATGTTTCAAACCTAAACTTTCTGCATAGGTTGGTGTACCTCTCTTATCATTTGACCATCTCCTGATTAAAGTTATGAAGTAAATGAAAGTTCAAAGCTTAGACGTTCCGTGGATATATACTGTACATAAGGCATAAAATTGCATCAATATTTTTTTTGCTTCTATGTACAATTTTTTGATTAATTAAGAAATTTATTAAAATAAAATTTAAGGATATTTAAAAATAAAGAAGAAAGAAAAAGTTCGATGATGTTTTAAATTATTTTTGGTTTTTGGAAGATTTGAAATATGGAATTTAAATTCCAGTAGTCATTATCATCAATAATAATTTAATGACAAGGATATTTAAGGACTAAAATTTGGTTAGTTATTTCAAGATTATAAAGAACGGTAAAGAGCTATTCTATAATATAGGTAATTAAAGTTATATGCTATAATAAGTACTTAAGCAACTTTTTTTATTTTTCTTCCAAAGTTTTGATCATATATTATTTCTCTATGAAGACATATGATTTGCTATGATTTTTTTATTAATTCGTTGTTACATTTTTTATTGCAAGATTTTGTTTTTTTAGTTGGTCCCAGTGGATCGAGTCTACTATAATAATAAGTAATTATAATATTACGTATAAATTTTTAGCATAAGTATTCTGGCAATTTATTTATACAACACAAGTGTAGATACCTACATAAAAGTAATACCAATGTAATTTTTATAATTTCAATAAATGCAATTCTTATTACAATAGAAATAATACCAAAAATTATTAATAGTAATGAGTGTTTAAAAAAAATAGTGATGGGTCAGATATTGCCCTGTTGGTTTGGTTGAATTGCAAAAAAAGATTGCAATATGTTAAAGAAAATATTCTTAGAATTCTGATGTAGGTACCCTGTATGTAAGTTAGTAACGAATTTAGCCAACATTTTGTACGTACGTTAATTTTTTTTTACACAAGTGTATATAAAGAATTTATAATATAATGAATTACTTAGATAAACGAAACACGTAAACTGTGTTTATCTATAAGATAAGAAGCCAGGATGTATAAAACAATGCTCTGAGACATTCACAAAATTAGGTTCAATCTCCCTGCTACGTAATTGCATGTTGCATGTTATAAAAATCTCAAGTTTTCTTTCGTTATTTTTTTTTAATGAAATTAGTAAACACCACATCGATCAAACCCCATTGTTAGCCAGTTAATTTAATGAATCAACCGGAATGCATAACTCACAGTGTCACCTGTAAAAAAAAATCCAATCCTGATGATGCTGCGATGTAAAAATGTTCCGAAAATAGAATTCGCCAATTAAATGAGCTTCTAATATCTGTTGGCCCGGAGGCGTTCGACTCATGTGAACGAACTTTAAGGATACAAGGCATTGCATCAAGACTTGAAAATAAAAACAGAAACGACCGAGATAACCACAATGATGTCTGAAATATGTGACATTGCCTCTTTTTTTACGTTTCCGTCGTGACGACAGATTTTTATGATACAAAGTTGTACACGCACGTCGATTACAACGTCACAATGAAATACTTGCGTTATTAACTTAAACATAGATATCACCTGTAACATACAACACGTTTCACGATTGTTTTAAAGCACTATTAGTCACATGCAGGTGTGTGAAGGAAAACATGGACATTTTTAACCGAACCAGAAAATTTAATAAATTATTTCTATCATTCAGTGCAACTTCCTTGTAATGTCGTAAAAATCATTACTAAGCATAATTCCAAAGTACCTCTTGTAAACTAAAACTAGCTAAAAAAATAGTCTAGAAATAAATACGGGCTCTAGATAACAATTTAAAAAATAATCGTGGTCTAAAAAAAAGAGTTTTTTGAGTTGTTTCAGTTTTGGTTTGGGTGTGCGATATAAATAATTGGTTCAAAATAAACTTATTTGTTTTGTTTTACAGTGTTTTTTTACATTATTCTCATAAAACTAAAAAATGGTAATGACATAACAGCATTAAGCATGTTAAAAAAATATACTAGTATGGACAATACATACATAAATTAATCTCTGAGCGTTTTTTGGAGTAAAACTCGTTCGAAGTTACGAAAAAACACAAAGTTGCGAATAATACAATGTTAAAAATCAATACAAAACTTACAAGAGTTGATTAACCATTATTAGGACTACTTAAAATTGAATTAATTACTTACGTAATTAAGTAATAGTAGGTAGGTACATAACTATCACTTTTTCTCCGAATAACATATACATACTATTTTATTCGCAAACGTATTCAGACCGAGAGTAAAGAGCAATACTAGGTATATGAAATTAGCAACTTTGGTAGCAAAGCGTCCTGCTTATTTTTTTCATTTATGAAGAAAATAAGCATGATGCTTTGCAACTATTGAAATTATTGGAGGGTTTATTAATCTACTAGTAGACGATTGGTGCAGTTAGTAGTGCAAAATGTCGGAGGCTGATGATGTACAATGTACCACTCTGGAAATTGCGAAAAAGGCAAGAAAGAAACAACATTAGTAAATGTCAATTACGTCATGGTAAAAGTAAAACCGCTTTAACGAAAAAACAGATTTTTACTCCATAGCTGAAAAATAAAACTTTTACTTGTGACATTTAGTAATAAAAGTGGTCACTTTTGTGACGTTTGTGGATAAAAAAAATACCTAAATAAGAAGTAACATTTTTTATGAAAAAACTTT